TTTTAATATTTTTGTTTTCATTTATTTCAACGTATTTTCTAATTTCCCATTGGTTTGTTTTCTTTGACTCACTGGTTGGTTAATGAGCATGCATTATTATCTACAGATCTGTAAGTATTCCACTTTCTCTTCTGTTATTCATTCCATGTGGTCAAATTTTGTAAGACTAATGTTGTAAGAAGGGAGAGGTCCTTGGAGAGGGACATCATGCTTGGGAGGGTGGAGGGATGGCGCAGAAGGGGAAGACCCTCTATGAGGTGGATTGATTCAGTGACTGGGGTAATGGGGTTGGGTGTGCCAAAGGCAGTGAGATTGGCACAGGATAGAGCAGGGTTTAGGGCTGTTGTACATAGGTTCGCTATGAGTCGCAAGTGACTCGACAGCCCATAAGAACAACAATGTTTTTAAATTTATTGAGACTTGGTTTGTGAACTAACCTATCCTCGAGAATGGTGGGATGTTTTGTTTGGTTGACTTGCAACATTCAAGAATGTTAAGCAGTGCAATGACATGGTTAAATTCTTACTTCAAAAATGTCCATCTGATAGCTTTCTGAAGAGCTGACTAAAGGCAGGAAGGCAGTGAGGAGGCTGTTACAGGTACTTGAGTAGGAATGAATGGCATCTGGATCAAGGGGTGACAGCAAAGCTGAAGTCTAGCAGATGATTTAAAGCAGCAGCAAAAGAATAAGTAGACTTTCTGCTGGATGAGACATGGTCCCAGTCCACAAATGGACATACAGACCACAGATGATCCACAAGCGTGTTGTCTGGAGCACAGTCGATGGCCCAAGTGACTATCCTTGACCAGGCCCAGAAAGAGACACACCAACTGTCGTTGAGCACTGCTGAGTTGGAACTGACCCATAGCTGAACCTCCTGCAGATATTCAGAGGCAGTAAATCACATGGGAGGACACTGCCCATCCTTCTCCCACGGAGCTGCTGGTAGATCTGAAGCATGTGCCAGGCCTAACTCAGACATACCCTAAGGTGACTTCAAGATAAGTGAAAAGTTAAAAGCCACAGCTCTCTTACATGAGCCTAAGAACTGTGGGAAAAGGGTGCTGCCTTGCAGAGCAGGTCACTATTCAAGAAATAATCAGAAGGTTCCAATCTTTCCATAAATGTGCAGTGTTGTTAGGAGGGGTCCATCCATGCTTGGAAAGTTGGAGGGGGAGGATCAGCAAAAGAGAGGAAGACCCTCAACAGGATGAATTAACATAGTGACTGTACTATAGGAGACATTATGAGGATGGTACAGGAAAGGGCAGAGTTCAGATCCATTGTTCAAAGGGTCACTAACGAGTCGTAGCTGGCTCAATGGCACAAACAATAACGTGCCCGGAGGCTTCTCCTTCACTTAGAGCTGTTCATTGACATTCAAAATGCCAGAAGAGGAGCAAGCATACCATGTCTCATAGGCACTCAGTGAGGGCCACCTTGACTTGTCCCTGAAGGCTTATCTCCATCGGAAGTCCCTACCCAGAAGGCTAGCCCCTTAGGGACACAAGCCTGCATGTCCGGTTGTACCTCCAGCCCCTGAGCATGTCTAAGGGGCTCAGAAAGAGGGAAGGTGAGCCTGAGGCTGCTCCCGCAGGGGCCTGCACCTCCCTGAAAGAAGCCCAGGCTGGAACTCTCTCATACTGCCCAGCTGGGTCACACACACACACACACACACACACACACACACACACACACACACACACACACATATTCATTCTCTCTTTCTCTCTCTCTCTCCCCCCACCCCCTTTCTCTTTCTCTCTCTCTCTCCCTCCCTCTCTCTCTCTCTCTCCAAAACAAATTATCCCTGGTTGGCTGGTCCAGGAAAACTGTTCCAACGTGGCTAGTCCAATCAATGCTACCTGCTATGTTGTTGTCAGAACATTTCTTGAAACTCAAGACATTCTGGTTTTAAAATTTAGAAAGGAAAGGCCAGAAAGAAGAGGTTAGTCTCTCCAGGAGCAACAGAGACCCCAATGTGATTGTCCTGGGTCCGGCGACATCGTGAGCTGACATTTCCCACAGAGAGCGAAGCAGAGCATGGATGGTGAGTCAGCCCGGGATGGGCTAGGACTCTGCTGGGGGTGTCTCTGCATCATCCATCAGCCATTCCTGGAATGGTCCAAACACGCCTGTTCACCAGGAAATTGAGTGATATCCTGGAGACCGCTTGCCAAGTTCAGCATTACTGCTGTGTGCACATTGATGTTGGGCAGACTAGTCCCTACAGGACCGACCCATTCTCTAAACAGTCGAGCCTAGAAGACCAGACCAAGAGTTGCTGCTCCTCAACACTCACTGAAAGCTGGTGCTGGAGAGAGACCTCTCAACAGGAGGAGGCCATGTCACAGTCTCTCATATGCCTCATGCTCGAGCACCTTCCATGGAATTCCCTGTCTCACCTACCTGCCTGAGAGATGGTCCCAGAGCCCAGAGGGCAGGCCACGTGCTCACCCATAACCCAGCCTCCCAAGCAAAACCACAGGTCTATGGCAACATGTCCCATTTTGCTTATAACTTCAGAAGAAGAAGGGCTTCCCTCACTTCACTAACCTGTGTGTATGGGCTTCCGCCCTTTTCTTAAAGCCAATTGGAAATGTTTTCTATTGCTTTAGGCCAGCAAGGCCGTGGGGTGACCAGCAGCATTCTTAAAAACCGCTTGTGGGGAACCCTACCAGAGGAACCGGGAAGGCAGGTTGATCACATCTCAGCACTATAAATGTGCTCTCCCACTGACACAATGATTACACATTTATTCTTGTACACACGTGAAATGCAGTAGAAGCACACTTATTCACTGCAGCACCGTATATCAGAGCTGAGAAAGGAAATAGCCCACAAGTTCACCAATAGTACACAGGTTAAAGAAACTATAGTATACTCAGGTAAAGTTTAAAGTGCCATAAAAAAATGATGCCACCCAAAGGTAATAAAGAAGGCCAGAATTGCTTCCACTGTGGAGAGCTGGGCCACTTCAGTAGACAGTGTCACAGACGAGAGCCACAGATAGGCAAGGGAGTAGAGAAGAAGCTCCCACTCACTTGCTTTAAGTGTGGCTCTGAAGGACACCTGGCCAAGGTGGCCCACATCAGGTCCTCATGGCAGACAGGACTGACAGGCCCCAGCACCCAGCTGGAAACAAAGGAGGACACTTCAACGATTTAGACCCTCCCAGAAGAGCTGTGGGTGAGCATTAACATTACTGGTAAGTATATTCATTTTCTCCTGGACACAGAGCCTACTAATTGGTCCTAAAAGCCTTCTGAGGTCCCAACTCTTCTCACTATTTCTTAGTTGTTGGAATGGATGGAAAACCTCATAAGCAGTTCCTTACTTTACCTCTAACTTGCATTCGAACTTCCAAATTGTAAAACAACCCAGTGGTAGATGGAATTTCCTCCAGGACTTAAGAACCATAAATAACATAGCTGAGCCTCTACATCTTGTGTTTCCTAACCTCTACACTATAATAGACAAAGTGCTAGTCTATAGGCCTTTTATTGTTAGAACCACCTTCCCTCTGTAGCTTGATTTGTGCCACTATCAGAACCTCTACTCGGAATATTATTGCTTTTTAATTTTTGACTCATGTATTTTTAACTTGTTAGTTAAATTTGTATCTTCTATGCTGCAACACTTCCATGATACATCTTCAAGGATATGAACATGTACAGCTAAGCATAACTGATAACAGTGAATCTAAATTCCAAAATCAATGTCCATAATAGTCTATGTGTTTCCTACTGCCAAAGGGGCCCTTTAGAGTAGTGAGAGAAGATCTTCACCCTGAAACCTACAGTGTCCCTTTTCAGCAGGAAGTAGCTAAGAGAATACGCCATCCCCTTTTCCTTATGAATCAGGGTGAAGTCTCTCTCAGGGAGGAGTGATAGGGAATGGCAAAGGACACACTGACAAAGGAGATTAATCAGAACTGGCTTCGACAAGCACTGTGGCAATTGGACAATTAAAACAGACATTGGGGGGGAGAAGAAGAACGAACTGGGGAGGAGGGTAGAGAAAACAGTGCAACAATGAATGAATGAAAACCCAAAATCTCTGTAAATGTTCACTAAAACTAATAAAATTTAATAATAATTTTTAAAAAATGAAGGAAAACTTCTTCATGTGCTGATAAAACAATACTTCTAAGATATGCTGCTAAAAGGGGGAAAGGTGGAGCACAGTATGCATTTCAAATAAGTACATACTTGAAAATATATATGAAAGTAGTAATTCTGGGTGGGAGAAAGAGAGGATAGAACAGGAGACAAAAGCAGACTTAGCTGCACATCCTTTTGAAGCCACTCATTCAAGAATCATCTAAAAAGATTACATTTTTAAAAAGAATTTTAAAAAGGGGGTAGAGGTGTGTGTGTGGCCCTCTGGTAGCCTAGTGGTAAGAAGCTGCACTGCAATCCCCAAAACACACAACTTGAATCCCCCTGCTGCTCCATGGGAGAAAAATGGGCAATCTCATGCGATTTATTGTCTCTGAAAACCTGCTGGAGGGTCAGCTGTGGGTCGACAGCAAAATAAAAAAGAAAACATCTTACTCTTAATCCTAATCCGGGCTCCTGCCTGAGCTCTGGCAGATGGCTTTCAATTACCACACACAAGCTGTGGAAAATCTGGCCCAAGGTATAGGTACTTGAACCTGTGTTCTCACAGCAAACTGGTGCTTCTGGCCTTGACCGACTGGTGAGGGTCTTCTGACTTCAATAGCGGGCTTGCCCAGAGAAAGGCAGGCATACCTCCCACCCATCACACATGCCCAGGCCACATTCAACTACCTCGGTGGAGAACTACAGCAACCATATTCCTTTTTGGGGAGCTGTCCAAGCCAATCAGAAAGGGCAGTCACACACACTGTGACCCTCTGCAGGGCACAGACTAGCCTGAGCCTCCTGACCACCATGGCCGACCCACAGTGTTAATCCCCACACCTCCAGTCCCATGACACCGCACACATGAGCCCGCAGCTCCAGGCGTTCTTTACCTGAATGGGTGCTCATCATGCGGACAGCCTTGGCCTTGGCCAGCTCCAGGGCAGTGACCCACTGCTGCCGTTCCACCTCCGAGCCGGCCTTGAGGTGGTAGGTCCTTGCTCCACTGGTCAGCAGGATGTTGCAAGAGTCCTCTGTGTCAATGTGTGCCGTGGACAGGTTGATGGTGCCCCGGCAGGTGTGGGCCATCTCCCCCTGATTTCTGTAGGATTCAAGAAGAGGGAGAGCGTGAGACTTCCAGATGCAAGAGATTCATCGGCAAATCTGAAGGAGCCCTGACCTTACGAGCAGGAACAGGCTCTGGAGTTGATATTGGATGTAGCTTGGTTGAGGGGCCGTAGAGGCCACGTGTGCCCTCTGTGGAGAGCAGAGTTGAGGGGGGGGTTCTGCATGAGGGGTCCAGGTGGACATGCTGACTATAGTTTAAACCCGAGGGTAGCACCTTCCCAGGATTCTGTGAGACAAGCCAACCTCTAATTCGATCCAGACTTTTCCCATTCAGTTTCTGGACAAGGAAGTGGAAGCACGTTGGGATCGTCTGTAAAATCTGAGAATGGAGGTCCTCAGTAGACTCAGAGGACGCCCATCAGGAGTGACCTGGGAGCAGTGCTGCTCCAGTTGCTGGTCTTTCAATACATATTCTATCATGAAAACTGTTCTCCAGTCCCATCAAAGTGAATCACCAAAGGCACACGCTGGTCTAGCATAGAACTACAGCATTATGAGGGCTCCTTTGCTAGTTACAAGATTATACAACAAACAGTACCAAAATAAGGGGCAGGGGCTAAAGTCTGTGTCACTGTCAACTGTGTCTGAATCACTGTCTGAAAATTGAGCTGTAACTACTTAAGTTACTCCTTTAAACCCCGGAAGGCTGTTCAGAATCTTCTCACTACCCCAAAACCCTGCTTCCAGAGAGAGAGAGGAAAGGAAGCACTGGAGTCCATACTGATATAAATAGATAAATTGTAGGGTGAAACAAATGGAAGAGAAGGGACAGTTCCTCCTTAGTGTGTAAAGATGGAATGATGGAAATAGAAAAAAATCATTAAATGTAATACAGGATCATAGCCTGGATCCTAAAATAGAAAAAAGGCATTACTGGAAAAGTGATGAGTGCTGAACAAAGCCTGGAGGCTAGTTTGCAGTGCTGAAACAATACTGGGTTTCTGAGTTTGATCACTATACCATGGTTGTTTACAATGTTAATATTAGAGAAAGTTTGGTGAATTGTGATGGGTATCTCAAGGTCAAAATGTTGTTGTTTTGTGTGCTGTCAAGCTGGAACCAACTCATAGCTGACCCTCCAGGAGATTTTCAGAAGCTATAAATCACCAGAGAGGAGACCACTCAGCTGAGCTGAGGAAGAGGATTTCAAAGTCAACTCAAAGGTATGCCTTTGGCAATCCCAGAGGTACGCGGTTCAAATCCACCAGATGCTCTGTTGGAGAAGGAGGGGGCAATCTCCTCCTGTACCAGTCAGATCTGATTTGACAGTACACATAAAAATAATACAATAAAGATAATGCCTTTGGGTTGGCAGTGAAACTCCTTATTTATTAGGCCACCAGAAATAAATTTAAAAAAAAATATCTAAATATATAATGTTGCACTCACCTTCTGTCCAGAGTCATAGCTGACATGAAGTGTTGTGGTCAGAACCGTGAATGTATATGCCTTCATGTTTAGTAATTACTAAAAATGTCCTCAATGATATTCCATAATGGCTGACCTTCCAAGGTCCTTGGGGCAAAAAGTCCCAAGTATCCATCGTCAGGCCTGACTCTAAATAGTTCTACAAGGGGTCAAGTGGAGAAACTAACAGCATCACGAGACTGAAAGGGCTTATGGGTAAAGAGGAGAGAAGGAGGATGGTAGAATCTCTGAGTCAAGATGAATCTAAAAACCAAAATTCAAAATCTATAGAGAAATACCAGAAGCTCCAACATAGTGATCTGAAGAATCACTTCAGTCAAAAGGGAACTGTCAAAATGGAACTAAAGGGACAATAAGGGGGAAAATTTTAATATTTTTATTGGTTTTCATATAAAAATTCCTTTACATTATGTTTCATTCATATATGTTGTCTTTTATACAATCTTTAATTTACATTGTGTTAGGGATGAAAAGATTGAGTAAAGATGGGCAAGGTCCAATGGTTACTGATTTTGTAAAACATAATGCATAAGAATGATAGTATGAAACACAATGTGAATGAAGAAGAGTGTAAAACACAATATGAAAAACATTTTCATGTAAGTATGTATGTTGTTGTGTACCATAGAGTCAGAACTGACCCACAGCTGACCCTCCAGCAGGTTTTCAGAGGCAGTCAATGGCACAGGAGGAGACTGCCCATCCTTCTCCTGCAGAGCAGCTGGTGGCTTTGAACCACGTGCCTTTGGAATTGCAGTGTAGCTCCTTGCCACTAGGCCACCAGAGCTCCAAGTCTGTATAGAATTCTTAAATAGTGTCCATTAAAGAAGGCAAGAATTTATGAAGCAAAAGCAGATAAATTGAAACTACAAGAGTCGGACTTTTTTAAAAAAAAAGTCACAAAACAATGTATACAAACTTTGTAAGCAAACTAATATAAAATCAAAATTTTATTTTTAAAAAAGTCACAAGAGAATTAAACATAGTAGTTACACTTCACCAGTTAACCAAGAGCCAAATCTAAAATGAATTCTTTGGGACAGATGGCAGCCCAGATAATTCTACAACTAAGACATCACAAAACAAAGAGAACAGACACCGATGATGATCCTGGAACAATGGGTTTCAAAAGAAATGTTAAAAGAAATCACTTCAACATTGACTGGAGGCAGGAACTGAATGAGGACTGTTGCTAAGGAGAAAGGTGGAACAGCGAATGCTGGACAGACTGACAGTGCAGTCGTTGTAAACCGATTGTGAGTAAGCAGACTCTGGAAGCCGTGGACTCCATGTACTGCTACAGTGTCCACCTCAGTGACTGGCTAGTGCCAAAAAAGGTGTGCACACCCCCTTGTTCCCCACACTCCCAGAGATCAGGACAGAGGGAGGCTTTGCCACCAACACCCACCAAGTGAATGGGAGTGTGTTCCTGGCCTGCCTGAGCCATGCTTGTTCCATTTAGAAACTCCATTTAGTGAGTGCCCCAGAAGCAGGTGCCAGTTAAAATATGAGCAACCTCTAGATGGACGGAAGCTGAGGCTGGTCCACACCATGCCCGTATTTGGAGCAGCACACTCCCCAGGTACTCTCACATGCCATTTTTTGGAATCTGAGGTGCCCTGTGACTATCTCTGGCAGGACGCTCCTCTGGATTTAGTGCCTGCTGTACAATGCTCTCACGTGGGCAGGTGCACGCACTCCTTCTACTAGGAGTATGCCATCTGAATTACTACCCAGCTACAGCCTCCCCTAGTTTGACAAACATGTGGATCAGGCTCCAGGTGCACGCCACCTTACATGCCCTCTATCTCCTCACACTTATAGAATGAGTCATTTCTGACTGGCTGTCAAATCTGCAAAGATTCCATCCTGCGCCAGGAAGACTGCCCAAGGCACCTGTGAGACCAGCAGAAACTCCATCCTGGGCTGGGTTCCTGGTCCCTTGATATCCTATAGGCTGTCAGAAGGGCCATTGGTGTCCTGAGACCACAACTGGGGTCTTGCCCAGTGCCCTCAGCTGACTCTCAGCTAAGCACTCCAAGTTCAACTTCCTGATGGCCCAGCAGAAACACCAAGCTAACCAGGTATCTTGCCTCCACCTGCCATATCAGTAGTAAGAGCATCTATCTGGGGCCACATCACCTCTCCTCCCAAGATCTCTCCTTCTTCTCTCTTTTATTTTTCTTTTGTCTTTCCTATCCATTGTGTGTCTCTTTCTCTTTCTTTTTTTTACTTCCACATTTTCTTCTTTTTGGCTGACTCCCTTTCCCTTGCCTCCTATGTTCCCTCCCCTCCCTCATCTTCCTTTTTTATTCTGAGTCTCCTTCCTTTGCACCTCTCTCAGTTTTGCTTTTCTTTTTGTTGCATATTGTTAACTCTTATTTGTGTCTTCAGGGTGATTTTGCTTGATTTTTTTGCTCTTCTTTTTTTCTCTTCTTTTTCTTTGTCCCACATGATATCAGATGGCAACAGTATCCACACAGGTCTGTCTGTTTTGTCTGTCTGTCTGTCTCTCTCTCTCTCTCTCTCTCACACACACACACACACAACCCCATCTTCAGCTTCATCCACTGGGCAACAGTAAAGACTGGCTCTTGATACACTTGACCTACAACAGACTATACCAGCAGCCGCCCAGTCAGCCTGCAACTGCTCCATAGAGCATTGCACAACACGTCCATCTTCCAGCACATCTACCACAAGACATTAAAGATGCCTTCCATGAAAGACGGACACGAAAGTCTAATAATTGCCAAACTAATAAGTTGCAGAGCATGTATCCATGGCTTATGTATGCATCCATGGCTTAATTAATCAGACATTCGAAAACAAAATAATACTAAGAGCAACCAGCACAATGTCACAGAGGCAAAGACTAACTTCAAACTCACATGTACTCAGAACAAGATGGCACAAACAAGAGACCAAAACTTGAGCTCCCTGCCATGAAGCCAATCATGACTCATAGTGGCCCTAGAGGAGAGAACAGATCTTCCCATAGGGTTTCTAAGGTTGAAAATCTTTACAGAAGCAGGCTGCCCCTTCTTTCTCCCAAGGAGCAGGTGGTGGGTTCGAACAACTTACCCTCTGGTTAGCAGTCAAGGGGGTAATCACTATGCCACTAAAGTTCAAAAATATAAAACTAGAAAATCATTCAGAAGAAGTACTCTTAGAACTTTTATATAGAGATTTTTTTTAAATGATAGGCAGATGCTTTTATCAAAGGGAGAAAAAGTTTGAGGAAACCACAGACAAAATAAAGGAAAACATAGCCAAAACTCTAGAAGAATAAAATAAAATGACAAGACTAAATCAATAAAATAAATGAAAATTTATAAGCTATAAAAAGACCCAGGAAATTGAAATTCAAATTATTAAGAGTAAAATTCAAGAAATATATAACTCATTAAAAGGGGGTCAAAGACAAAACTGAAGCAATGGAACAATGACTTTATGAAACAGAAGACAGATCTCTACAGTCTATTATGTTACAGGTATAATTAGAATAAAAGGAAGAAATGAAAGTGTAAGAATTATGTGGGATAC